TTTTTTTTTCTTTTTTTTTTTTTTTTTTTTTTTTTTTTTTTTTTTGGATCACTTTTTTGCCCCCCCCCCCCCCCCCCCCCCCAGGTGTGTCTATACCTGGAAGGTGCTGCTGGCTGACATTTACACACTGTTTATAGGCCGTTTTTAGGCCTTTTTCAGGCTGTTTTCTGCCTTTTTCTGGCTCTTTCTGTAGTTTTTCTTCCTTTTTCTGTTTTTTTCTGCTGTTTTCTGCCTTTTTCTCCATTACAGTGTTGTGTTTATTATCTGAGGACACGTTTTAGACCCTTTAGACACGTTTTAGGTGTGAGTCTATACCTGGAAGGCGCTGCTGGCGAAGCCCAGCCCCAGCTGCCTGCAGACCACCATGGCCTCCATGGTCCCCCAGCCCTGGCCGCACACACTGCCCCAGAGCAGGGAGCCGTTCCTCTGCAGCAGCACCTCCACGCGGCCCTCGAACGGGCTGCGGCCCCCGCTCAGACGCAGCTGGGGGGGGGGATAAATACACACCTTTAAAATACATAAATGTTGCTTTAAGACCCTCTAAAATATATAAATGTGCCTTTCTGGACCTTTTAAATACATAAATGTACCTTTCAGGACATTTTAAATACAAAAATGTACCTTTCAGGACCTCTAAAATACACAAATGTGTCTTTAAGGACATTTTAAATACATAAATGTGCCTTTAAGGACATTTTAAACACATAAATGTTCCTCTCAGAGCATTTTAAACACATAAATGTGTCTATAAGGACATTTTAAACACATAAATGTTCCTCTCAGAGCATTTTAAACACATAAATGTGCCTACTAGGACATTTTAAATACATACATGTGCCTTTAAGGACATTTTAAACACATAAATGTTCTTCTCAGAGCATTTTAAGCACATAAATGTTCCTCTCAGAGCATTTTAAACACATAAATGTGCCTTTAAGGACATTTTAAACACATAAATGTTCCTCTCAGAGCATTTTAAACACATAAATGTTCCTCCCAGAGCATTTTAAACACATAAATGTGTCTATAAGGACCTCTAAAGCACATACATGTCCCTTTAAGACACTCTAAAATACATAAATGTGCCTTCCTGGGCCCTCCTAAATACACAAATGTGCCTTTAAGAACCTCTAAAATACATAAATGTGCCTTTCTTGAACCTTTAAATACAAAAACTTACATTTCTGGATCTCTAAAATACACAAATGTGTCTATAAGGACATTTTAAGCACATAAATGTGTCTATAAGGACATTTTAAACACATAAATGTTCCTCTCAGAGCATTTTAAACACATAAATGTGCCTTTAAGGACATTTTAAGCACATAAATGTGCCTTTAAGGACATTTTAAACGTAGCGTACCCTCTCCTGGAAGCCCATGGCGGGCACGTTGCAGCGCACGGCGGCGTCCTCCTCGTGGCTGCAGCCCAGCACCTCCTTATTGAAGGAGCACTCCGTGATGGACTTCTCAAAGCCAGAACACTTCACCTCGTTCATGTGCACCGGGCCCATTCCTGCAACCACACAGAGGCTGAGATTAGCTTCACGCTAGGCTAGGCTAGGATAGGCTAGGCTAAGCTACCGCTGAGCACCATCAGTTCAACACACAAGCGCACCGGGCCCATTCCTGCACACACACAGAGGCTGAGATTAGCTTCACGCTAGGCTAAGCTAGGCTAAACTAAGCTAGGCTAGGCTAAACTAAGCTAGGCTAAGCTAGGCTAGGCTAAGCTACCGCTGAGCTCCATCAGTTCAACACACAAGCGCACCGGGCCCATTCCT